ACAGGGGGGGGCAACTGAGAGAGAGTCGGGGCAAGGGGGGGAGTGCGGGGCTGGGGGCGGGGTGGGGGGGGGCGGGGGCGGGTCCTTAAGATAAATGATCATGAAGAATAATATTATTAATTATTTTTTTATTTTTCGAATCAATTTGCCATTTATTTCAAATATCTTAAACAATTATCATTTCCTAAAATGTTTTACAATATTTACAAATGATTGAATAAAAAATCGAAGAAAATTTAGAAAAAACTCACGACCGAATTAAGATTAGAAAGTAAAATGATATAATTATTTAGTTAATTTTCGATAAATGATCGTATCCAATAAATAATAAAGATCAATGAATAGTTTTGAAAAGAAAACAAACCTCATTGAAATTTTTTTTCAAATATTTTCAATTGATTTCCGCTCAAGTTTATTCAAATGAAATACATCTTTAGATAAATCGTTCATATACATATATCATGATTATATACCCAGGTCAGTCAGAACGGTCCGTATACGGAAGTAAACGAATGAAAAACGAGTGTTTTACGGCAAGCCGTCACTTTTCGTATACGAATATCCGTTTACGATCAAGCGGCGGATCATTTACGGGCCCTTTTACGGAGTCGTTTACCGAACACCGTATACGACTCAGTGACGAAGAACGCTTACGCACCGTTCTATACCGTTTTTAATGAAGTTTTTATTTTTATTGCTAAAAATTATAATAAGTATCTCTTTTGGTTAATATTTATTTCTTTGGTCAAAAATTGGAGAATAAAAAAAAAACACCAGCAAGGGGCATTACCGAATACATGCTAGTTTAAACGCATCCATCATAGCGCCATCTAGGCAAAAATAGGAAAAGAGAAAAAATTCCACACTTAATTTTTCTAATTGGAAATAAAAAATTATTTATACTAAAATATTACATTATAACTAATTTTGAATTTTTTATCATTAATATTCCTGCACTGTTACAAACATGCCTAGACAAGTGGGTGTAACAATATAATAAAAGAGCTGAAAAAGAAAATCGAGTTCATTTATTCGTTTTATTTTACCAATATGCACTCAATAGGTACATTAATCTTTTAAAAATTTCTCTGTTGAATATAAAATCTGTTCTCGCCCGTGTTGGTTCTCTCGTGCTTCGTCTTTTTCATAAGTATGTATTTTCTTTCGTGACTTTGCTTCTTTTCTTTAGCAAATCTTGTAGATGAATATGAATGGATCCGTTTGATTTAATATATGCGACTAATTATGGTCGCAAAAAAAGAAGAGAAAGATACGATAAACAAAATGCTGCACGTCGAAAAAAACGATTAGAAAGAAATCAAATGATATATCCAGGTTTAATCAGAGCAATAGAAGATCAAGAAGCTAGCTTTGGGCAAGAATCAACGACGACTAAAGAAGTTGATGACATTTTTTATGATAAATTTGAATATAGTAATGATACCAAAACTCATCAAATTGTATGCACATCGAAGCAACAAGACAAAGAAAATCATTATGAAATACACAACACGCTTTTAGATATTTGTGGTAACACAAACTCGATTGAACAAACACAATATGATGATGATGGTTCAACTCAAATAATCCCATTGCGTTTACATAATTATACCAATAATTTATCTCATGATTACTGTACAAGCTTTGCATCGCTCGCACGTCACGCAAATCTATCAAAAATACATATAAATGATTTTTTATCTTTTATTAAATCAGGATTACCTGTTCCCAATAACATGCCATCATCAGAAAAGGAATTACTTTATATTCTTAACGTGCAGGACTTATTTACACAGCAATCTGTTTGCTTATTATGTTGTTGCTATTTTGACTATGACTTGAAAATGTGTCCACAATGTCAGTCATCCGATAAAAGTTCAATTGCTTACATGTAAGTACATTTTATCATAATATTATTTTAAAACTTGTTTACTATCAAAACTGTATCAATCAATACATGTTTTCTTCGTTCTTTTCTAGATATGATAGTAATGTGGAAACAATTATACAAAAGATTATCATTAGGCTATCAACTTGTGTTGATGAATATAAAAAAAGAATAAATATTAATGATGATCAAGAAACAACAAAGGACATCCCATTTGGAACTTTGTATCAAGAGTTATTAAAGAAGAATGGTTACAAAGATATTATTAGTATGTTGTTACATATAGATGGAGTAAGCATAACAAAGTGTAGCAAGTTAAAAATGTGGATGTTTAGTGGAACTATAGTGGAATTGCCTCCAAAATTACGAAATCGACGATGCAATATGGTTCTTATCTCAATTTGGGTCGGTTATGTTGAACCATCTCCAACATTATGGTTAAAGAAAGCAGTGAATAAATTAGAAACGATTAAAACACAAGGTATTCATATTTTTATCAATTGCTATTGAAAAAAATTTGAATCCATAATCTAACTCTCAATGAAATCTTTTTGCTTCCGTTTATTTTTAGCCACAACTTTGATTTGTACGAATGCAACATTATTTTTTATTTTTTAGGTATTAATATTTTGGACAAAAATTATAAATTGATAATATTTGGAATTACTGGAGATTGCCCAGCATTAAATTTAATTTGCAATTTTATTAATCACAATGGATATTTTTGTTGCTGGTTTTGTTTTATTAAAGGTCAACATATAAATAAGAAACGTCAGTATTATTATGAATCAATTAATTTACGTACAGCAGAACAATATTTGAAAGCATCAAAGATAGCTGAACGTACAAAAACAAATGTATATGGTCATTATGGTAATAGTGCACTGGAAAATATATTGGATGTTCCATTACCTAAAGGCATTGTGTTGGACTATTTACATGTTAGTCTTTTGGGGCATGCAAAAGCAATCATATTATCCATTTATCATCAACTAAAACCGGCACAACGTGAACAATTTAATGTTCAATTAAAAAGTCAAAAGTTTCCACGTAAGCCGTTCTTATCTTATTCTTTTTTTTCTTGTCAGACTTTTTTCTCTTTGGTCTAACATATTTGACATTTTACCTTATGTATTTAGATTTCTTTCAGAGAAAAATAAGAACGATTGATAATTTTGCCTTCGTAAAAGGAACTGAAGTTCGAAATTTGTTATTCTATGGTTTATTGCCGCACCTGAAGTTATTTTTATCAATTGAACAATTTTCTCATTTGAGTTTATATATTTGTGCTATACGTTTATTGCATAGTGGTCATGTTTTTGGTGAAAAAACACGTGAAATTGCTGATCCTTTATTTTCCATATTTTATAAAGATCATGAATTATTTTATTTGGGTTTACAAAATTTTAAACTACATTTACATGCTCATTATGCATCAATATATGAAAGTCATGGCTCACTTAGCAACTTAGGATGCTTTGGCCAAGAAGATTTCATTGGTTCTGTGAGTGCCAATTATCATGGCACTCGATATTATGGCAATTCTATAACTTATTATTACAATATCGATTTCTTTATTCAAAACAAAAAACAAGAAAGAACAGTAACCAATGGACCTTATGACTTGTCTTCTACGTTGGCAAATGATTATGAACATGTAAAACAATTTCATACTAGTTTATGCAACTGCATTGAATTGACTTTGTGCTGCATAATTTATCGTCGATTCATTATTCATAATGAAATGTTTCATTCCTTAATATATTATAAAAGACAAGATTCTGTTAGTTACTTTGTTCAATATTCATTTAATAATGACGTTCAAGATACTCGCTTCGGTGCTATTGAATTATTTTTTATTTTTAACGAGCTTGGCTATGCTGTTATTAAACATCATCGTATTAAAGAACTGTGCAGCGATATTTTCAAAGCTTGTTATTATTATCATTTATTAAAAATGCCAATAGATTCTCTATATTTTAGTTTAGAAAAAAATGATTGTGGAATCGATATTGTTCGAACTGATAATATTTTCAACCATTGTATCGTTGTTGAGAAAAATGATTGTTTATTTGTTACAACAATCTCATCCTACAATGAACATGATTGATGTGTTGATTTATGAGACGTCATTTAAGTTGTTTTTGTTTTTCTTCTGCATATAACTATATCTTTTTTCTCCAGAGAAAATATTTTTTGCTCGAAAAGGAATAATAATCGTTTTATTTGTTTCTTTTGTTGTTCTTCTTATACTTATAAATTCAAAGAATCATGTATTACTTATTTGAAATTTATATTTCAGATCATTTATTATTTGTTGTCATCAATAATGTCAAATAAAGCTATGCAAATGATAAAAAAACGATCAATTAAACCAAAAACTCAATATTCACCGTCAAATTCAACAGGAACAACAACAATGCATCATTTGATTATGTATAATGATAGTGGAAATATTATGATTGTTGGAAATTCAAGTGTAAAACGGTTACAAAATGATGGTACAGTGATACTGAATGATGGTCATACAGCAAAATTGATAATATCAGGTAAAACAATCTTTATTCTATTCAAAGAAATACCAGACAGTTCGCCAATTAAACATTCATACAATTTAGGTACAAAAGATAAATGTATGGAACAATGGAATAAACGAAGCCTTTCAATAAATAGTGATATATCAATGGTCTTTTCGCTTCAATCTAATTATGATTTCTAATTGTTTCAGATAATGATGATTACGAACAAGATGAAGATGAAGATGTCATACCCAAACTGATGGAACAAACGTTGCAAATGCCGACAAAAATGTTTTCAACACGTACGTATTCTATTTTATGAAAATGATATTGTCAAGCAACTGTGAATAATGTCTTAGCGGCTCCATATCGGCGCCAGACAACATCAATAAATCGTTCAAATTTCCCAGATTCAGTACATTCTGGTATCTTATTTATTGAATCGTTTAGCATATGTATTTTAATTCAATCAAAGCTTTTTAGTTTCATCATCAAAACGATTTGCACGTGAAAATCATTCAAATCATGCATCAAAGCGTCTCACCAATGTTTCGTTTTCTCCTCAAAGTTCAAATCGTATTATCTTAGGTAGCTATTCTCGTCTATGTCCGCATCCTTACCATTTTATTTGCCGTTTTTTTAAAGAAGCTTCGTCGGTAACGTCTTCGTCAGATGAAGAAGAGGGCATGATCAATACCAGTGATAAAGTTTCATTGAATCGTATATTTCAAGAATTAAAAAATACACAAACAAATTTACAAGGCGCCAGAAACGAAAACCGTGATATGCATAAACAATTAACAACATTAACACAAAAAATAAATCATTTTAATTCACTTGTATTATCTGTAACTAGTCGTTTCTTATCTTTTCAAAATACTAATTAGTCTCTTTATTCGTTTCACTATTTAGAAAAATGATCACGATCTCGATCGGTATCGTGATTCTAATGATACAGAAGATTTTCGAAAAGAAGTGATGAGTCTCATATTGATAAAAATATAACAGCTAAAAATTTCATATTTTTTTTTTGTTTTTAGATGCATGAAGGTCGTAATTTGTTGGACGTGCCAGCAAGAAATGCTGGTGAATACGCACGAAATTTACTGAAAATATTGTTTAAACCCCACGAATTACAAACAAGTTTATTACCGTCACTACACTCAACAAAATTTTCAAAGTCTCAATTGGACCAAGAAAGAATTGATCGTTTAAACGGTAGGGAAAAATGTTTCAATTTTCATCAATTGATATATGTATAAGTATATTGATGTGGATAAGTACATAAGTATACGTATATGGATAAATATATAAGGCTTGTATTTTAATGCTCAGTATATTCTTTTATACACTCAGTATTTTTTGCTCAGTAAAAAATTAGTTTTAGCATAGTAAATAATATGAAACAATCAGCAATTAATTGAAAAAGACTCAGTAATTGATTTAAAAAGATCCCGCATTCAATTAATTTTTGTTCAGTTTTTTATTAATTTATATCAGTAAAATACTATAATTGAGATAGAATTAGCAAGAAAATAATTAACCAAAGAATTTACATCTAGTGAAAAAAAAAGAGTTGATTACATCAGTAATGCTTTCTTAGATTTTGACGATCTACCACGACATCTTGCACTAATATTAACATCTATTAGCAGCATTTGGCAGTTTGCAACCTTTTAATGCAATTGCCGTACCGATGGCATATTTACACATCAAGTTTTTGAAAACTTTTATCGTTTATATAACGTAATGACAGTCTATTAAATATTCAGTGATGTAAGCAAAATAGAAAAATGATTATCTGCGTTTTAAGCAGTCTATCTTATTTCTAGACGTTTGGTCAACTATGTTGGCATCATTAGTCAATAGAATTTAGTATAATAGTATAGAACTTTTTAAATTTTGTTTTATTCTCATTTACTCGTGCTCTATTTACTAAACATTTATCTTAGGTTGTATATTATATTAAACCTATTGACTGATGATGCCTGTTAAGGATTTGTCCAAATATTTGTACACATCACATATCGTCTGTTTCCCCATTAACACAACACATCAATTTTTGTTTTTTCCTGCTATGTTCTCATGTGTTATGTTCTAATAGTTTCTTTTCGTGCTGCGATATATTTCTTTCTGTCATTCTCTTGATCTTATTGCTCTCTTCTTCTACCTTTGATGGCTACTGTCATTAAATAAGCTGAACTCACGTTCACAAAAAGCCACAAAATTTGCAATATCAACCTGATTGACGTGGAATCATCCTTTAATTCTTTTATAAAAGAATAAAATTGATCCAGTTACTGATAAAAGTAGCATTCATTTAAGGAGCAAATTAAATTAGGTACTGATAAATTAATTTTAATATTAAACAAAGTATTAATTTACTGAGCAAACAATCATTTCACTGATCAACATAATACTTACGAACATTGAATTTTATACTGATAATTTGTATATAATACTGAGCGTTTACAAAAAAATGCTGACCATTTTAATTTGTCCCCAATATATAACTATATATATGGATAAATATATATAATTTTTTTCACCTCTGGGAAAGAATTATAAGAGATTTAAGTAATTGTTATTGTTTTTTAGAAGCTGTCCGTGCACAATATCGCATTACAAAGCATCATTATACAAGTTTCTACAAAGAGAGAATTCAAGTTACATTGGCCTGTTGTGTATATAATGAAGGTGTACGAAAGCAAAAGAAACAAATGATGCAGCAACAACAACAAATCGTTCAACAAACTGCTTCACAAGTTGAGCAGCAATCCATTACAACAGCTTCTTTCGATTAAGAAAGATGAAGATTACAATTATCAGAAGAATGAATATTGCGTATTTAATTAAGTATATTTCGTACAACTTTAGCTTCTCTATTTAATTGGAAATTATGAAAATTTGAAACTCCTTTTTCAGCTAAACAATGGCTTATGAAACTTGTTTTCTTTTCTTATCTTGAGTGAAGTTGTTTCTTGACGAAATTAGTATTTGAACATTTTATGCTTTTGAAACGTAGAAATTATAACAAATGAAAATTTTCTTATATTATGAAACTGTGTTCACGTTTTTCACTTTACCTGTATACATTTTTATATTAGTTGTTTTATTGTATGATATACGAAAATAAATTAATAAATATGAAGAAAAACTGGTAATGCTAGACTCAAATAAACAGCATGTGGCAATAGGAAAAAATAGAACGAGGGAAAAAATGCAAAAAAACTAACTGTAAACGGAGCAAATACAGTAGTTTTACGACAGCATACTGCAACAATACGGTGAAATACGGTTGACCGTATTATATCTGTAATAAATATAAAAACGGTCAAATACGGATCGTATACGGTACGGATACAAAACGGACCGCAAAACTGCATCCACTCGTACGGTGTGATACGGACAGTTTACAGTCCGTATTGACTCCGTTTACTTCCGTAAAGTCTCCGTTTTTTCATTGTTTACTGGCCGAAAACGGGCCGTAAACAATGGCCGTTTTAATCGACCTGGGTATAGACGGTCTACAATGATTTAATCATTACTATTTACACGTGGTAAAGCACAAATAGAAATTATGACTTAGCTTTCCCAAGGGGGAAAAAGCGGATCCTGGTGGATCCTGGGATCCATTAGGATCCGCCAGGATCCATAGGATCCACCAGGACCCACTATGATCCATTAGGATCCGCCAGGATCCATAGGATCCACCAGGACCCACTAGGATCCATTAGGATCCATTAGGATCCATTAGGATC